CTCCAAAGCTACATTTTTTCATGTTTGTAGGAAAGACAGTAAAATGATTGTTGAAAACAACATCACCAAAGATCTAAGTGAGAAAGATGCACAGGCCTCAACATATTTCCCTTTTCTTTGCCAGTTTTCCCAAACTGGCCAAATTAACTAGGTAGTTGCCCTATATTCATTTTGTATGGTTTTGTATGGTTAAATAGTGCCAAAACTAAGGCTAAAATACAGGCTTCTTTGTTCTAGTACACTGAGTTAAGGAACTAAAGGAAATTGTTCAAAATCAACTATATTTTTTTTTTGTTTTATATTTTCAATATTAGGATATAAGAAAAGAAAGGGATCTGGAATATTCTCATTTTTCCCATTAAAGTTTACTGCAGCCTAATATAACAAGCACTGCACTAAACATTTTATATGTGTAGTATTATTAGTACCTTCACTGTAGAGTTGTTGAAAATGAGGCTGAGCATTAGGAATTTGTTCAAGGTCACATGCTACTAAGTAGTTGAACCTGGCCATAAACCCAGGATTCTGGCTCCAAAACACCAGTGCTTAAGCTCCCCTGGCAGACTGGGTAGGTTAAATGTGGCATTACTTCCTTAATGTTTTCTTAATGTAAATAACACACTTATTCTGCGTAAGGAGATAAATTCCAACTTATTTATAAAATAAGATGAAGCTTTAAGTTGGATAAGGGCCCAGTAAGGGTTCTTGGCAGAAAGTACTTGGAGTTAACTCATTTTAGAGCTCTGTTAATAGTAAACACATTTTGGATTAATTTTTATAGGAAATACTCTTCTTGGAGATGCGTATTCTACACATTGATTTCTACACATGTGGTTTTCACACTCTGGGGATCATGAACCTGAGGACACTGAGCATGCTGAGAATTAGTTACACATCTCTCATGGTGTAATTCACTGTGGAACAATGTTGCAGCTACGCCAGTGTCTCACTGGCAGCCAGAATATTGGTGCAGTCAGAATCAGAAGAAAGGTTTACTATATCAAATTAAAGGTATCTGTGTCTGTCAAAGCCTTAGAAAATGCAATCTTATATATGTAATTTTAAAAAATCATTTATTCACCTAAACTTTGGTTATAAAAGAAATATAAAATTTATATAAACTAGCAAGGCACTTAGAATTGTTTTTGTTTCCTATGTTAAAATTTAGTTGAATAACAAATCATAGCAAGGCACACAAATTTTTTTTGTCTTAAAAAATCTCACTAAAATGAGAACAAGGAAATACCATTTAAAACTGCATGTAAAGTGAATGATAAGAAGAGACAATAGCAGATAAGAGAGATTGACAGTTTTGAAAAATGATAAGTACATGAATCAGCAAATCTGGAAAAAAAAACCCACTAAGGAGTTTCAGAAGCAGACGTTAATCCCAGGTGATCTAGCTCATATAGAAAAATTCCAAAAAGGCTCAAGAAGTGAAGACACAAAATCACTGAATTCAGAAGTGAGATACAGGACTTCAAATTGGGGAATGGTGGTAGGCGAGGGGTTGAAAGCCTGTATAAGCTCTGAGTCCATAACAAGAGCTTAAAGGTTAATTATGTAAAATCATTGACCAAATATAAATACCACATGGAGAACAAGGGAGTCAAATAAAATCTATATACTAAATTGGAAGACACTTCCCAATCTCAGAACCCCTTTATATCACCTAATCTCAGTAGCAGTAGCAACCATGATCATATTCTGCAAGTAAGATATTGGGTAGTTATCTTTTCTAAAGGAACATTAGAGCTTCAGACATTTGTAGTTCCAACAATACGATGGTGAGCCATGTTCCTACATAATCAAACACTATGTGAAGCATTTCAGTGGACAAACATAACCCACAAATAGTTTACAAGCATATTTTTCTTTAAAAATGATAAAAGAGGGAATAAAGACTTAGAATTTCTGTGACACACACACACACACACACACGCACACACAAACATCAAAACAAACAAGTTTGGAAGAAGCAAAGACAATGCAGGAAGCAAGGAAAACAAAAGTTCAAAACCATTCTTACCCTTAGATAAGAATAGATACTATATCAAAGAAACAAGAATAAGATGCTATTTTAAAAGAAGAAAAAAAGAAGCAGCAATCTGAGTGAGAAAATTACTAAAATATTTAAATAAAGAAGAAATAAAAAATAAAATGTTTGGAGTAGTAACTCATAAAAATGTCATATAAAATAGAATACAAAAAAAGATGGAAAAAGGATCTTAAAGTAAAAAAAATCAGAATCTCAATTCTGAAGACACAAAATTAACAGAACTTTCATAAAGAGAAATAAATACATCAGAAAGAAAGAAGTACTATTTAAAAATGTCCAGAAAATGAAGGCTGTTTTCATGTTGAAAAAACCTGCTGATGTAAATCCAGGACTATGGGAGGCTGAAGGAGGAGGATCACAATTTTGAGCCCAGCTTGGGCAATGTTGGGAGACCCTGTTTAAAAAAAAAGTGTGTGTGGGGTCGGGGGGCTGCAGATGTAACTCTTTGTGAGGGCTCTCTATTCAACTCACAGTAATACACACACATACACCCACACAGAAACAGAGAAAATGAGCAAAAATGAAAAAGCTTACTGAGCACCTCATGCAATAAGTTGAAAAAGAACAGTACTAAGGCACATTATTGTGAAATTTCAAAACATAGAGGATAAAAAGTTCATCTGAAAGCCTTGAAGAAAATAAAAAGGTCATGTGTAAAGGATTGAGAATTAATATAACATCAGATTTCCTAATAGTTCTGCAAGCCAGAAAACAACAGGTGAAAGCCTTTCAAATTCTAAAAAGTATTTACAACCTAACATTCTATGTTCATCTAAATAGAATGACAATTAAAGGTAAAGATGAAATAAACACAGTCTCAGAAATGCAATGTTGTGAAAAATGTACCACTTCAGTACATGCAACTGGAAGATATACTCCACCCAAATAAGGAGACAGACTATGAAGAGGAAGATATGAGTTCCAGCAAACACAGAGGAGAACCAGCAAGTCTACCAGATGCACAAAAAACTAGTAATCTACAGAAGAAAAGGAAAATGTCTGCATCTACAAGGAATAGCTTTAAGAAAATAATAAAATTGATGGAATACTATGGTGTTTGGGGAAAAATATTTTTGAAAGTTTAAAAATTCCTGTGTAATACCTGAGAAAATTATTAATCATAAAATAGAACTCAACATGAGTAACATAAAGGAGCAATCTTGCAACACTGTATGGGCAAAATATAAACATATATGGCTCAGTGACAAATATGTACATGGTCATAATAAGGGAAATTGTGGATATTAATTTAACTATAAACTAATAAAATGTGGAGATGAGGAAGGGGAAGGACATTACGATAGAATTCTCATAATCAGCAATAAGCAGTCAATAAAATATTTAAACATATTATGTAGAAATGCAAAGGTTAAAAACCAAAAGGTGCCAGAAGAGGTTGGCAGAGACTCAGGGGAGGGAAAGGGAGAGGGTTTTGGTTTTTGTTATGCGTTTTGTTGTGCAATTTGATGTTTAAAATATGCCCTTGAATTATGATATCTTTTTCATTCTAAAAAATCTCATAAGCCACAAATATAAGAAGTCTAACTTAGGATAATCACTAGCATCTATCTATCTATCTATCTATCTATCTATCTATCTATCTGATATTTGTGATCACTATAAAGCACAATTTCTCTAATAATGATATTCTAATCTTCCAGTTATATGGAACGTGATGCCAATTTAATAAAAAAAAAGTTATTTAGGGAAAAAAATCTAAGTTTCTGATAATATACTATTTCCATTTTTCTACTCAAAAATAGTCAAATTTTAAAGTCTGAGATGGATTTTAAAAGACTGTTCTTTTTGTTAAGAACTGGCAAAATGTTATAATAAAATAAAATAAAAATGGTTATAATAAGGTTGAAAAAGATTTTTTCTGAAATAAAACCATATTTTGTATTGTTTTAGATAAATAAAACAATATATTATAAATATCCTCTTTCCTATGTCTTTATTTCATTGAGTTTCTCATATTTTGCCAATAATTATTTGGCAAATTATTAAACTCATAACATTGGAAATAGTCATGCAAGGTGATTTGCAGGGTAAAGCGTTTTATCTTTACTGATAGACCTAGATTCAAGTCTTTGCTTACCTGTTTACGAGTTTTTTCATATTGTTATCTGTTCAATTGACCAAACTGATAAGTGTATCATTGAGTTGGTCACTGAACTAAAAAACTGGTTCTCTCTGAATAATTTGGCAGCCAAGTACAGCCCAGCTAAGTATAAAGCGTGATAATGTCTATAAGTCCAGCACAGTTCTAGGATTTTTCTCTTTGACTTTCATATTATTTTCAACCTTTGACATAATGACTTTTTCATTTTCACATTATCATATTGTATTTCAATGATTGGCAGTTAGGATATTCCTTGGGAACTGCGTACTTAAAATGCTGTTTAATAAATGAATGAATACATATACTCCTGAAACCCTATCATTTTCCCAAAGCAGCAGCTAGAGGCAAAAACAAAGCACTGAACTATTTTCTAAACTTCTCTGTTTGAATTAAATAATATCCTAAGCCCACTAATACGCAAATCTTACTTCATTTCTTAATGATGCAAATCTAGATAGAACATTTGTTGTTGTTTCAAGAAGTGCAAAGGTAATTCAGTCACAGTTTGCCACCCCCAAGAACTCCTACTTAAAATGAAGTCACAAGAAAAGCCTTTTTACTGTACAAAACTTCCCTTTTATAGAGTTTGCTTAAAAATGTAAGCAATTTCACAGATGGAAGATCTGAGTAATTTTTTAAAGGTCATATTTCCCTCCAAAATTGATTTCCTTACTCTCACATTCTCATTATGCTGGGTAAAATATTTTAATTATTGTTTAATGTTGAACTTAAGGTTGTGATAACTTCAAAGGTCTGTAATTTTGCTGTCTAGAAGCAGAACTTTGTTTAAAGAAATAAGTAACAAGGTAATTTTCTTACCTTGTTCTTGTGCGTGAACAGTAATCCAAGCCATACATAGCACAATGAAATGAGGAAGTAGTTTCCTATGAAAGAGAAAAAACAATTATTGGACACTAACAATCTTCAAACTATATCAAATCTAGAATGAACTCTAAAGCAGAGCTAATAATTAAGCTACTATTCTAATTCTAATTAAGATCAAGGGCTCTGAATTCAAGTTCCAGTTTTATGATTTACTGTGTGATCTGATCACATTGTATTGCTCTATACCTCTGATTCTTCATATGTTAATCCTATTCATAAAGATTTTTTTTACAGATTAACTGAAAAAGTTTGTGTAAAACACATACAACAGTGTGTGGCACATAACGCAATAAATGTAAACTAGTATAGATAATATTATAGTTGTTATTATCATATATTATGGCAAATTACCAGATAATTCATGTAAAGTAACAAAATTATACTAAATAATGCAATTATGTCAACTATAATGATTATATATTGACGGAACCACCCAATTATTTGTGTAGATTAATGTTTATTTGTGAAAGCCCTTTGAATATCATATTTAAGTCATTTCTACAAAATTCTGATTCTTTGGTTCTGAAAATAGCAATGGCCTATAGGTGTGAATGTTGAACATTTGATTGGTAATTATGAGAACAATATCCAATCACTATAAATAAAAACGTTTATTCATATTGATTACCTAAGAGAAAATATTGTGATATTTTAGTACAACCAAATTTTTTATAATTACTTTGAATAATCTTAATAATTGGCTATATCTGCCTCCCAGATGAAAATTATACATAATTTTTGGAAAGTGAAAATGGTCATGTTGAACACAATCAACATTAACTAATTCTTGCTAATTTAGACTTTGGTTCTACTTTTTATTTGAACTCAAAGGCTCTCCATTTGACATTTTTGTGAAATGTTCTTCTTCAAAGAGTGATTGCAAAGCCCCATAAATATTTTTATATTAAGTTCCTGGTGTATTTTTCTACTTATTACCAATATAATATTTTTGCTTTTATCAAATAGCACACTTATTTTAAGGATAATCTTTTTATGAAGGTTAAGGGAACAACATAAACTTACACTGTTCTTGACATAATGGAATACAGACTTGTATTAAAATGGTACTAAATTAGGATTTTCATTTTTGTGTAATAAAAAATGAAATATATATATGACAAAGTTTTGATAGAATACTTAATGATTATCACTAACTCTACAAAATAAGCAACTAAATTATTATGGAAATTTTAACTGATATGGGCAAAAAGTTGAGCCATGTATATTAATGAAGCCTATAAAACATTTTCATATGTGATGTTATTCATTTACATCAACAGTTCCCAAATGTTAGTTTTCCAAAGAACTACCTAATGTGCTTGTGAAAAAAAAGAAGATTCTGGGCCTCTACAAAACTATGACTCAAAAATTTGTACTAGAATGGAGCTCTAGAATGTATACATTTTAATGAGGTCATTTTAATTACACATTATGTGTGTCCCAGACAGAGAAAAAAGTAGAATGTTAATTATATTTACATTCTAATTTTAATACATGTAAATAGACATTTTTGCTTACATTACATATTTGATTTTATGATACAACATATTATCTGAAGCTAAAAATCCTTTTCTACTACATAGTTCAGTGATTTTTCAAACTTTAGTGTACGTCACAACCACTTGGAAAGCTTGTGAAAAGTTTTTGGACCTTAATTGCAGAGCTTTGACTCAGTAGGTCTAGGGTGAGGCTCAAGAATTTGCATTTACTTCAAATTCCCATTTGATGCTGGTGCTGCTGATTGGAGAGCCAATTCTGAGAATCACACATTAGAATAGGCAATACTCAAGAAAAGATACTCACATGATTTGTGTTGTTTTTTTTTAAATCTAGGCTCCACACTGAAATCACCTGTGGAGTTTTAAAAACTACTGATATGTTTGTTTCTTTACATTGTCTTTCCTTCTAGTATTATCCCTAGATGTTACATGGTACATCTGATGTTACATGGTACATGCATTTTAAAACCCTTATCAAGTCATTCTAATGTGCAAACAAGATCGAGGAACACTGTATGAAATTACAATGATCTCACTATATTTAACAAATGTCTTTAGAAGATCAACAATATAAGATTTAATAAAGGTTTAAAATATAACCTATGATATTGTTATCTGAGGATGTCTAAGAAACTATGAAACACTCTGCATATATCTGGCCTGCTAACCGTGTTTTGAGTTTGACATCAACCACAGTCCAAACGTGTCCAGACCAAGAGATGATAAAAACCTATAGGAGACCAAGCAGAACAGATAACTAAAGATCATACTTAGAACATCTAAGATACTAATAACCATCCCAAGGGTCTCCCCCAAGTGATTCTTAAAGAGTGGGTCAGCTTTCTCTTTATCTGAATGGTCCAACTTACTTTAGAGAAATACCAGGGATCTTTTTCTTTAGGGTAGCCATGAGATCCTTAGGATTATAATGTATATCTTTGGGCTGATGATACTCATTCCTACATAGAATCGCTTTATAATAGTAAGAAGTACTGGGGAAATATTGTAAATAGAGAATTTTTTAAATGTTTGTGGTTTTCTTTTAGATCAATCGAAAGGTATGAGCTAATCCCCATTTCTCCCTGCAGCTCTAGTTTAAGCCACTTCTTCCCTAGAATGTGTGCTCCAACCAACTTTTTTTCAGGTCCTCAAGTACACTGTGCTGTCTGGCTTCTGAGCCTTTTAATGTTCCCTGCTTAGAAGAGTCCATGACCTTTCTACATAGGTTTCAGTCTAGATTTTGTTCCCTTTAGTTTGCTTTTCCTTTCAGCAGTGCCTCTCTCTGCCCTCACCATATGCCTAGGACTGTTAGATGCCCTTCTGGAATACACCCTTATCTCATTTTGTTGGGCACATTCACTTAGTATGTCCTTAGTTAGCCTGGGTGCAATTGGAAGATGGCCGTGGTGTCACTGCACGCTCCTGGTATCCCTGTCCAGAGCCATGCTGGGCACACAAGGGAAACTCAGTAAACATTTATTGAATGAGTGACAGAATGTAAAGCTTTTATGAGAATGAAAATGAAATGGTCTTTATTTCATCTCCCACTTAGAGATATAAATTCTAAAATGTCATAGTTGCAAGGCATACTAAGGAAACTAAATAAAATTTATTTTTCTTGTTCAGCTTTACAGATTAGGAGCAGAATGTCTAAATACTCAAAATTCCTTTACATAAATATGCTTTTCCTCCTTGACATGTCAGTTTATTTTCAACACTTAAAAACAATGGCAACTAAGCAATTTTTAAAAATAGAATTCTGTGAAAGTAGGAGTTTCATATAGAAATTTGTTGCTGTTGTTGTTGTTGTTGTTGTTGTAGAAACCCTCTAATTACCATGAGTCTGTCTGCGGTATTTTCTGATGTATGTTAAATCAATATATCTAACACTGGCTTTTGGGTTTTAATTTTCTTTTATTACATCCACAGTTACATTAGTCAATCTATTTAAAAGTAGCCCTGTCAAAGAAAATGTTTATAAGAATTCAGTTTTAAAATATAAATGTTTTTGAGTGACTAATCAGAACTACGATTCTAAAAAGCTGCTCCTGCTCTTGCAAACGGCTCACCACAAAAAGCTGGTGGCAAATGAAAGCCTCAGGGTTTTCATTAGGACTCTTAAGGTTTAATTCAGTGGCCTGACAGTATCATCAGCTAATCAGCTGCTTCTTCCAAGTCTTTCCCCTTTTCCCAAGGGTTGGCATTTTTTTTAATTGGCTGTTTTTTTCTAGAAACATTTTCTCTGCCCAATCCCTACCTTTTCTGTTTTGCATGTGTGTGGCTGGAGCTGTGAAATTCTACAATCTGCTATGATTATGAATTATCCTTAATTCTCTGCAGCCCATCCCCACGGGCTTCTGTAATGGAACAAGTTGGATCCTGAGCTGTGGGAAGCCTGCAAGGGCCCTGGCTGATAGGCCCTCTGAGAGACCAGCACCTTCACTCAGCATCTGCTCCACAAGAGTTCTTTCCCCCATCCACGAGGTGTGATTTTTTTTTTTCCCCTCTCAGGAGTTCCTCCTCCGATGTAATCGGCTCTATTTGGTTTCTCTGCCTCCCTCCCCCCAATCATCTGGACCCAATTTACAAACCCCAAACTGCCCAAGAATTTATGCAAGGCCTTTTCTGGGAGCGTCTGGAAGGGAAGTGTAAACCAGACAAGACAGAGGCCAGGAGCCGAAGATGTGCTTTAATCTACGAGGTCGGTCACGGCTACCAAGGGGAGTATTAATCAGAGACGGGCCCCCCCCCCAGAGGTGGGACCCTGCAGCCAGACGGGAGGCGGAGGCCGCCCTGGGCCTCTTCTGCAGGACCTGAGTCCCTTGGCACTGCCAAGGACCGGAGAGAGGTGCGCGCAGTCCGCAGGATGGCCTTACCCCCGCCCCGCACAGTCCGGAGGGTCCTCACTGGGGGCCTTGATCACGAAAAGTTCTGCCTGGGAGCCCGAGGGACCTGCAGGAGCTGCTTTGGGAGACCGCACCTGGGTCTTCCCGGCCCGACAGCACGCGGCCTGCGCTTTCCTCCGGCAGCACGCGGCTGAGACGCACATGTGCACACAAACACCGCCACGAGGCGGTCTCTCCACACCCCGCCTCCGCCTGCCCCGAGCTGACTCGGGTGCTTCTGCCCTGCCCTCCGCCCACCTCCTCTCCCGAGGGGCAGATTCTCCGCAGAAACCACCACAACTGCATTCGCCCCTCTCGCTCCTGCGGGCCAGAAGCAAACTTGTGCAACCACTGACCACAGCCACGGCTGGAGGCCCAGGAGTGTAACTCACGGGGACAAGGGCAGTGGCCGGGACCGCGCACCCCCGTCTTCGCTCTTTTCCCAGTGGGGTGGAGACAGGTTGGGCGCTCGAGGGCGGGGGGGGCGGCGCCTA